GAAACAGGTAGGCACAGTTGTTGGGTGGCACAAAAGTGCAATCTGATATTCCTGTGAGGGACAGTTGGTGCAGTGCACAACACGACACAGCTGTGCTTCTTTGAGGTGTTCACCAAATGACCCAAAGAGTGACTTCAGCATAGGAGGGTTAATATTGGTACTGTAGCATCTCCCTACTATTACAGCTTGGCATATAATGTTTCAATTCTGAAGACTGTATCAATTATTCCATAAGATGTTTGTACACTTCTACGTTAGCATGTAGGGGTAGTCTGGGCCTATTAACCCAAACCTCCCGGATATTTTGGCTAAAAACTCTGTAGACACATCACTCTACACCATCTGTCAAAGTGGCCTGTCTGCCCAGTGAAACAAGATCCAACAGGTTGACTATCCCAAACGCCTAACAGCCTTGGAGTCTGCGGTTGCCAGCCAATGCTAGACAGTGATGTTGTTCGACAGGACCAGCTCCCATTTGTCTCAACAATGGCAGGTGTTTTTTTCAGCTGTTGTTGATTGCCCGGTGGAAGACAGTGCAGCAGACGTTGACACCTGCCCAATGCTGCATCTGAGAGGAAGGGTTATCCACCCCCAAGTTGTAGTATGGGTTAATGTATGAGCTTTCTGCTCTACTATTCTGACTTTACATATTACATGCCAAAAACACTGCTGTGGTCATACTTCACTGACCGAACCAGGAATAAGGCAACCGATCCGATGACCACCAACCAATCCAAGTTCACCACCACCATGAAAGATATCCACACTGGAAGACTACACTGGTTCACTGATCCACTGGTAAACTTTATGTCGGTGGCTACTTTTGCCTGGAAACTTTCGGGATCTTTCAAAAATCCTCCACTGTGCAGCAGCTGTAACATGCATTCTAGGCAGATTCTTTTATTCTCGATATTTTGGAAGGGCATGAAGCCCCAATCAAGAACTAGTAGCTGGCTTCTACCGTCCCCTATTCTGCTAAAAATATCTCTGGATGGATGTTGAAAGAGTCAGGAAGGGTGAGGGGCTTCCACTTCATGTGTGATATACACAACATATGTTCAGAATGATGTGGAAAAATGATACTTCAAGTAAACACAGGAAGGCAACAGAAGGAGGGGCAATTTCTTTGCTTCTAACTTCTTCCTTTCCTGACACAGTGCTTTTAAAGAACCGTCAAATTCCCCTCAAATGTTCAGAAACTTTGAAGTATACAAAAAGAGAATCCAGCCACTGAGTCAATGGGTAAACAGAGATGCCAAGTTTTCAAAATGAAAAGTGTAACCCTATCACACTTCCAGTTCCGGTTTCCTGAATAATCCCGATTTTTGGGTGCGACCCCAAAAATATTCATCAGCAAATTAGAACAATTTTTAAAAAAAGTTTTCAAAAAACCTGTTGTCTTTTCTTTAAAAACAAACGCCTGTCAACAAACTTCTTTTCACGTCAAAACATTTGTATTTACCCAACTACATGTAGCATTGTGCAAGTATGAATTGTAATCAATTGTTGATTATATTTCCACATTAACTCTGCTAAGATTTTATTGTAATCAATTCTGTGGCAATTTTTGGCAACTTTCGTCCCATTCAATCAACACAAAATCGTCAAAAAATACTTACCTATTGACCCTATTTAATCAGAAGCAGAGTTATTATTTTTTTTGGTCTAACTAATGTGCTTCTCAGTGATGTAAGATCAAGCATAGGCAATATTTTTCATGTCAGAGTTACAAAACACATAAACTTCTCCACAACAAGACTTTGCAACAAAAGCCCATTTTCGTGGTGCATTCGTCCCTGAACTTCTGCTCACTTTTTGCCACAGTGCAAAACAAGTCAGATTGCTCACAAAATATCCAAGAATCAAATCCTCAATCAAGTTCTCCACTCCGGTTAACTTTAGCACGATCATGAAGCACACGTGTACCATATCGGTACATGTACCATGCATGGATGTACACAATCAAGTTGCATATTCGCCCCCTGTTCATCATGTCGTTAATTTGGGCGAATTGATGATTCAACCACGCTGGTTTCTACCGCTAGTCACGCAGCTCGTATGCACAAACTGCATGAATACCAGTGACACATTTCTGACGCACGCATTACGAGGCTGACTGGCTCTATGCTGGCTTACGTAGAATTTATTACACAACTCTATGGTTTTGTACCTTCAAGTTGGAAATCGTAAAAGTCTTAAGTCTGGATTTTACAGTAGTAAACGGACAAAACAAATCATAAAAGTTACGCCTAAATCTTACAAGTTAGCATCTCTGGGTAAACAAGGCCAGTTCACGGAGGAGAATGTGCAGATCAATTCTGGCAGACTGTTCATATCAACTGCCTGCCTCTGCTCTATAGTCACCAATCTGACCAATTCATCAAACTGACCACAAGCACTGACACTGTTACACTGACGTACAAAATGCCCGACAGCACAGTTTACATGATCCGTTATCACTTAGAACCAATCTTATTCAGTGGAGCAAGTTTTTCATAAAAAGAAACTTCAAATAATCTCAAGGAATTTGAAGTGGTGTTTCTAAATACTTCTTGGAATGACAACCTCAAATGTTTTAGCAGCCAACACACAATCATACATTATGTCAAAACACTTTAGCACAAAATATTTAGTACTTGGCAAGAGTATCTTCATGAAAGAAACAATGAAAGAGGAAGCATGTCCCTAAAATTACTGGAAAATCTACACTGCATTTTACTTAGCTTCAAACTTAATTTTACCTTGGCCTGTCAATAATGGAACAAGCCACTTACCTTACATGAATATTCATAAGGTATGAATGTAAAAATAAATATTCATTAGTGGTTTTCTGTGCACACCCAATGATGTGAGTGAAAACAGACTATGCATTGTTGCCATGCACAAAATTTCCCCGCAGGTTGTTCTGGGGGTGTGGCTACATGCCAGTGGGGGTGACCAATCTAAACTGGAAGTCCTCAATTCATGTTATGTGGCATTTCCAAGGCGTGAATATCTCGAAGCGCAACCGGCATCACTTTGATCACTGTAAGAAAAAAACCTCATCAGGGACTTCAGCGGGATTTGAATCCCAAATCATTTTTCTGAGTTGCTTGTTTTCCCAATACCTTCTCGGGTATCCGAAACAACCACCACAAACTTACTGTACATTTTCTTCTCTTCTTTTCTTCAACTCTTCTGCGTCTTCTTCACAGAAATCAAATTTTCTTCATCTATCAAAAGAAGTTTCCAAGTTCCGTTAGACCTTTATATTTTTTTTTCCCCTGGCTATGTCCCTTGCCACAAGATGTGCTGTCTGTGGTCCCCAAAACAAGAAAAAAAAAAGATTGTTGGGAAAGAAAGTTGTCAGTGCGGAAATAATTCAATAAGTATGGACATTTTCACATTCTTTTTAAAATCTAAATTCATTTTTGAATGTCAAATTTCTAAACAAATCAGAAATTCTTTCTGAAATGTCTACTTTAACTAGAACAGTTCCAGCCAACAAATTATTCGGTACTATTCCTGATGTGTAAATACATGCTTCTTCACACCACAACAGCAGCAAGTGATCACTTCACACTCGGGATAACACAATACTTGCTTTAAGCATTGCCACACCTGCAAACTCTGAACAACTGCATAACACTTTCAATGGCAAATGCTCATGTGCCCAACGGCCCTAATCCGACAAATGCTTAGAGAGGTATGTTTTCTTGTTCTCTGATATCAGCGATACACACCGGGCGAACTAAGACCTCAAACCCACAGACAGCACATCTTGTCCACTTCATCCAGGCTATGATGCAATTCTGCATGCAGATGGAGCGTGCACGATCTAACGGAGGACTTACTAGGTGGGCTGGCCCATGTAGATGCCTGGGGTTGGGGTGTGCGCTCGCTTGGTGATGGAAAAATCCACGCGGATGCGTCGGCCATCGATATCCATCCCGTCTGTCCGAATCTTTGCCTGGGAAAATTTAACAAAAAAATGAAACCAGAGTTTTATTTATGGTTTCAAAGCAAAAGATCCCAGGTCCGGACTTTGGAGGAAAGCTAAAATGTATCTATTATGTTCATGGTGTGGGGTGAGTTGGGGTGGAGTGGAAGGAGGATACTTCCTAAAATCCATCCCTTCCTATTCCAAATAAATAAAATCAAGAGACCTCCAAAAAACTAGGACGAATAGTGCTACGCAGCCTTTTATGAGGGGACATGCAGTGGGTGCGGAGGGTGTGGCTTGGGCCACCTTTTTCAGCAAGGTCTGATGTGCATGCGCGCTGATATGCAAATGTAGGTAAGCAGAGGTGAGATGTTCTCTGTAATGGAATGGTGGGAGGGTTGAGGGTGTGGAAGGATGGGGGTTCCCTTTCAGATGAAGGGGCTGAGGGAAGAGCAAAGAAACGCTGAATCAAACTCATGAAAGGTATAGTTAGTTGAGGCTTACCACCAGTACATGACTGGTCAGTTGCTCCAGAAAATAAACTGGTGCGCATTTCAGTAGTGGTGGTAAAAAACTGGATTTTGAGAACTGACCAACTAGTTAGTTAATGTTTAGATTGATCAATCCTTCGTCCTTGCTTAAAAATACCTATTTCAGAGATACAGTTTTCAGATAATTCAAAGATTTAGTTTCAGTAGGAAAACCTGTAGGTATTAAGTGTGTGACTAGCATTCTCCTTAAAATAACCCATTCTCTAGAATGTGATGCTGTCACTAGTGTTATAGTCGAATGCTTTTCATGTACCAAGTTCTCTGCTCTTCACCCCTACCCCACAAAAACACACAACTTCAAAGCATCTTTAATTACAACCAAACCTTTTAGTGTGTGACCTTTGACTCTGTGGAAAGGATTAACATTTTGAAACACTTCCAATGTCAACACCACTATGTACAGAACCCCTTCCAAACACAACATTCCGATTGGAGACCAGTTCATACTTCAAGAGAATGAGATAGCAAAGCACATTAGACTCGCAAACCCCTTTGTTGGCAAACTTTGCTCCAGGCGAAATGTGCTGAAGTTGTGCAAATTCACAGCAACAATACTTGATCTGATGTCGTACAACTGTGTCCGTGTTTGCGTGACGCATGAACCAATCTTCAGCGCAAGCACAGGGATGGCTTGAGTGGCCATGACCCTCCCTGTGAGCCAGTATTTTTCCCCACCTTGTGCATCAGAATATTTTGATATGCATACTACATGGATGTGTCATCAAATTAATCCACTCCAAATTAACCCCCACAATTAAAGATATTTTGATCTCAGCCGAGTTGTTATGTGATCCCCTGATATACTTACATCTCTGGCATCATCGACATTCTGGAAAGTGACAAATGCAAAGCCTCTGGATCTACCAGTCTGAAAGAAAAAAAAATGAAATAACGCAGAACGTCAAGACAGCTTCCAATGTAACCCTGACTAGCCTACAGAATAAAACATTCCCTTGGACTTCAAATTTTATCTGAATTCCATTTATTATAATCACTATTAATCACTTCTGGTAATGACACCAACGATTCCTTGAAGGTGCCCTAGGCACTGTAGCTTGTAAGATTGAAGAAACATGTAGAGGGGAAGACAATGAGGAGCAGTTACAGTTCAGTCGTTTTACACGGAGAGGTGGGAAGAAAACCCCACAGGTATATTCTGGGTAAAACCCACAGATTCAGATACGGACTCACAACCAAATCCACACATGGACTGAGCCGGGATCCCACCCTGGCCTGCAGAGGTGGAAGGCGAGGAAAGAAATGCCATGCCAACTTGACTCCTAACAAACTGAATGTAGTATCATTTTGTATAGTCTAGAGTTAACGGCGAGACTTTGGATTCTTGGCAGCATTACTTAACAGGGGCCTCAATGCCTGATCTTGTTCAAGTAGACATGCGCATGAATTTGGGAAATCACAACACTCTATAGGTCAAAGGGACACGTAACATGTGCATACCACCAGTAAATGGGCGTTGTGCGTTATGTTTCCGCATAAATAAACTGACTGGAGTTGTTGAACTTTCCAAACTGTTTATCCAATGTTCCAGCTATACCTTGTGGTCATAGACAACTTCACAGCGTTCCAGTGGACCGTACACCGTGTAGACTTCCCTCAAGTCAGCTTCTGTGGTATACAGACTCAGTCCAAACACTCCAATGCAACAGTTCTCAGCTGGGTTATCCTAGGAGAAAAAAAGGACCATGGAATTGAAAAACACCAGTGGCACTTATTACGTTTTGGTGATATAAAAGCTACAATCACCGGACAGGGTGTAAGGTCGGGACGAGCACACTGAATTTGTAATGTCACTAAAAGCTGTGAAAGCAAAGTGAAGTGTTCTCTTACCCTACTTCCAACATGTCGTCGCCTGTCGGACAGCGGAGAAGTGCTGCGCTCACGTCTGAAAATAAATCAAAACACACATGAATCCAAGGAGGTGGCTGTAATTCTCGTACCAAAAGCATTTCCTATCTGGACTTTGGGACATCATAGCCTATGGCCAAGGTTATCCACCTCAGCACTGAGTTTGGTTAAAGGAACCATGCAATGACCTTTTCTTAGCATCATTTTTTGAGTATGTATGTACTCTTCTTCTATGCATGAGGACTATATGGACTCTTATTTTGAGTTGGGTGAATTGAAAAGTGCACTTTTTAAACATTCAAAATTAACCAAGCATTTCCGGACAAGTGAAGACACTTTTGCCCTGAAGACACTGCTCAGTTTGCATGTTTTCATGTTCAAATTGTGAACTCCAAATTTGCTATTTGAAATCATATCTGAGAAGAAGTTTCTCCCCAACTTATTGCCATAAACTTACACAATAAATTGCTAAAGAAAATGAAATCCATGATGGCAATGTTTAAAAAAATCCAGAAATTCTTTGTGCAAAAATTAGTGCAACATTGAGGTTCAGTGCCTTGGATGACATCATCATCTTGCTCATGAATATACAAATGGCATTAGCATAAAAACCAGAAAAGCTCCAAAATATAGGTCTAGATGGTAGAGCAATAATTTAACATGAGCTTAATTGGAATCCAAGGGTGAAATTTCAAGGATTTTATTAAAATTAGTAAAACAATTCTTTTTCATGGTCCCTTTAAAAACCACTGAGTTGCGTCAACAACCAAACCAAAAACCTAGAACCCCCAACCTTGTCCAACTCACGACAGTCCCACCTTGAGCCAACCAAGCCCAACCCAATGAACTTGAAGATTCAAAGAGAATGCTTAGATGCTGGAAATGTGCAAAAAAAAATTTGTTTAGTATTAAGTGACCTCAGTTCACTGCAGCCTTCCCCGATCTATTGTAAACTATCCACAAGCCGTGTCTGAGTCGGACTTCCAAAGCAACAACTACAGCTACAGGAGGTATATATCTCTCGTTACCAGTATGCTCACATCTTCCTCAACTACACGTAGCAACGACCTGCACCTTGCTCTACACACAAGACTTATATGCAGCCTTAATGCATGCTGATAAATGCAGAAGATTAACCCTAACCCCCTAGGCTCCTGCACTAGAAAGCATACTGAACCTCACAAAATCCAACAGGTTCATGTACTTGTCTATGTACCTGATAAACTCCAACAGAATGAG